ATTTTGTAATTTCCCCTTTATATATTTTTAAAGAAAAAAATTCAGATGAAATTTTTTTCATTGTTAATTATTTAGTATTTATTTGAGCTCCATTTTTATTCTAAGAATACATTTTCGAATAGTAGATTGATAGAAAATATGTGATTAAAAAATAAGGAAAAGTTTTAAGTTTGCGTTAATATTATTTTATCGAAAAATGTATTGTTGAAAATAAGGAGAAAAATATATTTTGAAAATAAAGGGATCAAACAAGAGTTTAATAGATTTTAAACTTTACTTCAAAAGTTTACCAAGAAATTGTTTCCGTTGGTGTTCATTTTACCCTTTTTATATAGTTTTCGACGGAACTAGCTGTTGGAAGATCCGTCGATAAATTATTTAATTTATTATTTAAATTTTACCAACGGAATAGCAATGTATTGTACAAACGGAAGTCTTCAGTTGGAAGTTCCGCAATTAAAATGACAAAACAATAATTTATTGCTAATTTGTTGTTAATGCATTGGTAATAGCAACAGAAATTAAGCTTTTAATAGGTTAGCATTGGTGCCTTCTGCAGTGTGACCCGCCTCCCGCACTCATCCAGGGGCGGAGCTATGTAGAGGACAGTGCAGGCACTGGACCAAGAAGAGAAAAAGAAGGGGAGAAGAAAAGGGAAGAAGGAAAAAAGAAAAGTGTGCCCACAGGAAACTCACACTGGACCAAGAACAGAAGAAGATAAGAAGAACAGGGAAGAAAGAAGAGAAAAAGTGTGCCCGTAGAAATAGTGTGAAATTATTAGAAAAGAGAGCGTGACTTATTTAAATGCTAATTTTAAGTTTGACTTTCCTAAATTATTAGGTATTAAATTGATAACGGATAAGCCGATACCTATAAATAAGTGATAATTTTCATGATAATAATTAATCACTCCAAACAAAACAAAACAATAAAAAAGAAAAGGGTGCGTTTGATTACGAGTATGGAATTTGTATGGAAATAAAATATATTCTAGGCAATTCAATTGTTTAGAACTTATTTGTATGGAAATTGTTAATTAAATACATTTGATTAATTTAGTTTTCAATTGAAGAAAGGGTTAATTTCACAAATGGTCACTGAAATTACCTGAAAATTTCAAAATGGTCACTGAAATTTCAAAGTTTCAGAAATGTTCACTGAAGTTTGAAATTTATTTCACAAACGGTCACTGAATTTTCAGATTTTTTGGGCAAGTTTGAGGCAATTTTTCGACAACTTCCGACCACCAAAATC